ATTATATATATATATATATATTTTTTTTTTTTATAAACTATCTCTTTAAGTCGACTGAAACAAGTCATATTTAATACCATGTGTGTGCAATGGTTTTAATGTCCTTATGTCATTTCAATTGCATATCAGTCATTTTATACTTTCATAATTCTTTCAGAACCTTTCTCTAAAAGGGGGAAAACTGCAAAAATACACGTTAACTTGCTGTTGTTTAGCAAAAATATAATCCAAACCAAAAATGAACCGAATAATCATCACAACCTTGATTTATTTTTTATAATTTATGAATTGTTTAAATTTATAATATAGGCAATTGTGGTTTTAAAGTTCACTTGTTTATCCATAGCTATAGCAAAAATATGTCAACTATGATAAGAATAGAATCACTGTTATTCTAATTTCAGGCAGTTTTGAACTAGGTATTTGAAACCAACATACAAAACAACTGAAGCTGACTCAGAGCTGTATAGTTACTGAGATTAATGTACAGTACTGTTAAAGACCAAAAGAAAAACAACATATTATTCAAATACCTTTATTGTTCAATTGCCATTCTCATTTAGGTTACAGAGGTAAACATTTAGGGGGAAACTTAGATACAGCAGTGCTACACCTGCCAAGAGCTGTCACCTCCACACACACACGCACGCACACACACACAATCACACACACTCCCATCCAGCACTGTCATCTCCACCAGACTTAGAGCAGATAAACCATTATTTCCACACACCAAACACATCCGCTTGCAAAAGATCTGCATCCGTGTTTAAAAGACCAGAGTGGTCTGTTGATCCAGGTGACATGGCTCTTGAAGTCCGCCCACTCAAATCAGCAGCAATGAAACTCTGTGGTCAGACAGCAGAATGTCTACTGGAACTCTAGAAATCTCTGTCGAATGACAAAGAAACTCTAGAAGTCAAATATGGCTACAACTTCTGCAACTCTAGATTGTCCTTGCCGAGCTGAGTGAAGAATAGCTGGATCTGTCTTAGAGGCGGAGGTGTTAGGCTGGGGTATGAAGAGATGTCTTCCCGTGACATCCCTTCCGTATGGCTGTAGAGGAATCCATCTCTCTGATCATCAAACATTATGATGGCCTGTACACTCATAATACATGCTTTGAGCTTAGTTACTCTCCAGATAGAAAAAAAAGTCGATTAAAAGCAATACTCACTCACCGAGATCAACACGTTAATCAAATCGGAGAAATGCAAATGTTCAGTTAGAGTCGGTACGATTTCAATAAATGCTGTTACAGTGAAGCTGCCACATAAACATTACAAACCTGTAAGAGCCACATTCAATATCTGCCAGTAAAATGGTACGTCAAAATGTGCTTTACCAGTCAGTGTTAAATATTTAAGGATTTCCTGGCACCAAAAGAACCAAATGGCCATTTAAAAGTCTAAATGAAAGATTTATAATCTATAATATTCCTGTAAAATCCACTTTAAACCGACAAAAAAATAAGATTTTTACAGTACGCTTATTTGAACAAACCCTGAACTCTGCAGTCTTTGTGTGCGTTTCTATTTATACATGTAATAATTAATAAACACCATCCTGTCCGTCGCTTGCCAAGTTCTGTATGGCTCACGGGACTAAGGCTCAATCGCAAAGGCTTATTTTCTGAATATCAAATGGTTTTAAAATAAGAAACTTGAAACTTCAAATCCTCTTTTCATCCGTCATTATGTAGGCTGTACTATTGTACCGGCCCGCTCTCGTATTGCAGGTGTACTTCCAGAATTTCAGTGTATTAGTGTTTCCCTCTGAAAAACAGGGTCAAAGTGGTTCTACACTGTTTAAGACCTTGGAGTCAGTTTGAATGTTATAATGTTATATTGAACATCATATGATCACGGAATCATGATACAAAGGGTTACAACCCTTTGGACTCTTCATAATCTTAATTAAAAGTATTCTTACGCACCTATTGTCCATGATCGTGAATGAAATTGTTGGAATTGCATCACAATGGAACATCCATCTAGGATATAGATATTATAATCTTCTATAGCAGGTTCCACAATCCAATAGGGTCCTGAACACTCCGGTGCGCCAACATTCAGGCAATTTAAAATACCCTGCTTGAATGAACCTGCATCGAAACTCCATGTAGGCTTCATAGAGCCGTCTTTAGGGAAAACCAAAAGTAGTTACTCCATACAGTACAGCATGTACAGTACATCTACAGATGTAAGGGAAAGACAGTTTCCTGTATTTGGCAGCTGTATGAAGCTGAATAGTCCAATATACAAAAATAGGGTTTTAGAAAATTTCAAACAACAACATGAATAACAATATTACTAATAATAACAACAGCGGTCATAAATAAAGTCCACGCCCAAACGGCGTGTCATACAAAAGTCCAGCAGACGTATAAAGCGTCTGTCAGTACTGAAGAAAAGTTGGGTCAGTGCTGAGGTGAGTTTGGTTCAAGGTGATGGAGATTGTGTTTTTGTGTTAAAGCCCTGGTCTGCTACTGCGTGCCGTCGAACCGCCTCTGTTGTGGGAACGTGCTGGAACAGACACTAGGTGTGTAGTGATAGAGAGAGAGAAAGTGTGAACACTATGTTCATGCATTTAAAAGTAATTTTATATTCTTAGTGGTTGCGTTCTCAACAAAATGTTTACATTTTATGCTAAATCCAGTCATGTCAGTATCTTATATATTCAAGATGAGTTTCTAAATGCAAACTCTGTAGGGAATATTTCCCGTGAGATCTGTGTAAGGTTTAGGAAGTTCCATCTTAAGAAAAAGTTTAGACTTTTAGCACTCAGACATTTTAGTTAGAGCATGGTACTTAATGATTAATCATAGATGTTAAATAATAAATTGATAATAAATCAGAATAATAAAAGACTTCCTTTCTACATTTCACTCTTTCATCATTATTCTTAAAGTAAAAAATTATGTAATATTCATAAATATAAAGTACTAAGAAGAGGCAAATTTGAGGAGCCCAAGCATATAAATCTTATTACAGTGCATGCAAGGCTTCTGATATTCCTATTATATTTTTATTTTCCACATTTTTATGCAATTAATTCTGCTAAAACAAACTTAATTTCAAGATCTGTTGTGCTAATTTTGTTTTTATAAATATTCATAATTAAAAATCTAACTGACAGCATTAGCATGCTACATTGCTATTTGGCTGCTTTCTTGCATTTACATTATCTTTCAAAAGTTTAGGGTCAGTATGGTTTTAATTGGGGTCAGTATGAATACTTTTATTTAGCACAGATGCATTAAACTGATCAAAAGTGACAGCAAACACTTTAACATTGCTACAAAATTCTTCTATTTCAAATAAACGCTGTTCTTTTGAATGTTCTATTAAATCAAAGAGCCTGAAAAAAAAAAAATCAGTTTCCACAAAAATATTAAGCAGCACAATTGTTGATAATGTGACACTGAAGACTGAAGTACTATAATGGCTTTGCCATCACAGGAATAAATTACATTTTAAAATATATTGTAACAGAAAATAATTATTTTAAATCATAATAATATTTCACAATATTGCTGTTTTTTTTAAATGTATTTTCTATTAAATAAATGCAGCCTTGTTGAGTATAAGAGACTTCTTTTAGAAACATTAAAAAAATCGTACCGACCCCAAACATTTGAATAGCACTGTATTTGCATATTTAATTGTCATTGATTGGATTTAACTGTCAATTTGATATCGACTTAACTATTTATAGCCACATTCACACTGCAAACAAAGTTTACATAGAACGAAAACTAGTGCTAGTGTTTCCTTCAAGAAATACAAATCTACCATAGTTTCTAATAGGGCTGTACGATAAATTGCATGTGACGATCATGCGCATCTCGTCAGTAAAGCCGGTTCTGTGATTAGTAGTAAATCTCCATCACGTGCTTTCAGATGGAGCGGCATTTAATACACAGAGCTGTAGTTCGCTGACAAGCTACGCAATATTGCGTTCATAATCGCAGATCACATTCGATTATGAACGCGATATTGCGTAGCTTGTCAGCAAGCTACGGCTCTGTGTATTAGGCTACGTTTACACGACAACGGTGTAGTCAAAAACGGAAAAGATTTTCCCTTGCGTTTTTAAAATGTTTCACGTATACACGATAACGTTTTCAAAATGATTCGCTACATATCAATGAAAATGGACAAAAAAGCTGTATTACGTATGCCAGGCCAGTAGTTGGCGCTGTCACCTTGTTAGTAAACAGTACCTGTAGGGAAGTGACGATTATATGGTGTATATGATGCGTCTCCGCTGTTGGTTGTAATTTTGGTGAAGTAAATCCACACTTTGCTGAAGAAGCGTTAGCAAACTCTTGAGCAGCAACAACAGTGCCATTGTTGTGTATGTTTGTTCGCGCTTGCCTTTAAAATCGACACGTACTGCGCATGTCTACATACCTAACATGTACTACGCACGCGCATGACATCACTGTTTTCAAAGATTTCAAAGATTATCGTTTACACGGAAACGGTAACGGTGCCGTTTTCAAAAACTTGCACTTTGAAACCTGTTTTCAAAAATGTGCGTTTTCAGTCCCCAAAACGCCGTTGTCGTGTAAGCGAACAGTCAAAACGCATAAAAAGTATCCCGTTTTTGGCTGACAACGTAGTGTAAACGGCCCCTTAAATGCCGTCTCCATCTGAAAGCACGTGATGGAGATTTACTACTAATCACAGAACCGACTTTACTGACAAGATGCGCATGACAATCACATGTGATTTATCGTGCAGCCCTAGTTTCTAATAACAAAATACTATTATGTTTTTCTGTACATGAATTATTTTTTACCTTTAATTTAAATGTCAAGCAAAAAAGCTAATTAAAACTGATTCTCACTGACCTGGGGGTGGAGCTTTTGCATCTGGCTCCTCCTCATGCTCGATGGGGAAGTGGCCAAGGGGATGATGGGAAAATGCTGAAGAAGCGTTAGCAAACTCTTGAGCAGCAACAACAGTGCCATTGTTGTGTATGTTTGTTCGCACTTACCTTTAAAATCGACACGTACTGCGCATGTCTACATACCTAACATGTACTACGCACGCGCATGACATCACTGTTTTCAAAGATTCCCGTTTTGGGTGTTTACACGGAAACGATAATGGTGGTGTTTTCAAAAACTTGCACTTTGAAACCCGTTTTCAAAAATATGCGTTTTCAGTCCCCAAAACGCCGTTGTCGAGTAAACGAACAGTCAAAACGCATAAAAAGTTTCCCGTTTTTGGCTGAAAACGTTGTCGTGCAAACGGCTCCTAAGTTTTCTCAGAGACATACAGTAAGTCCACCGACACCCAATGCTACAGTTAGAGGTGAGATTTCTTACTTCCTGCGACGGTGGAACTGTTTAACTGGACACAGCTCATCGAAGAGTTTCTGATTCACCAGCCGCGGCACCAGAAGGAAACGATTATTGGACACAAACTCGTCAATTATCTGCTTTTTCATCCCTCTTGCCTAGAGAAGAAAACAAAAAAGGACTCGTCTACCAAAAACACAACAGTTTTTGAGAAAAACTACAGTTAGATGTATGCAAATGGAGAGCTGGGCCTCACCTGCATAACATCAGCAGGTTTGTCTGTGTTCTCTTTGAACAGGAGCATGGTGTGTGTAGTAAATGCTGCTCCATCTGAAAGCACGTGATGGAGATTTACTACTAATCACAGAACCGACTTTACTGACAAGATGCGCATGACAATCACATGTGATTTATCGTGCAGCCCTAGTTTCTAATAACAAAATACTATTATGTTTTTCTGTACATGAATTATTTTTTACCTTTAATTTAAATGTCAAGCAAAAAAGCTAATTAAAACTGATTCTCACTGACCTGGGGGTGGAGCTTTTGCATCTGGCTCCTCCTCATGCTCGATGGGGAAGTGGCCAAGGGGATGATGGGAAAATGAGTCTATGAAGGAGGAGCTGCTGATGCCCAAACTGATTCCAGTCACACCAATTCCCAGAGAATCTGCACTCACACAACCAAATACAGTCAATGGGACAATTTATAGAATTATAATGTTCATCTATAGGTCCGATGTGTGTTTGTATGCACCCACCTACACCAACAGACGCTCTGCCAGGTCGTCCCTGCCCGATGCTGTCTATTCCAGTGAATGAACGGCGATAAGGGGTGTCTGACTGCAAAGATCGTTTTGCCATGATCAATACACACATAAATAAAAAAACATGATGAGAGTCAGGATGAAGTTTATGTAATGTATACACATGTGCGGGAGAGATTCACCCTAAAGGTGTGTGTGGTGTTGGGTCTGGAAAACACATCCAGCAGCTGCAGTTTGTCTCTGGGCTGCAGACTGACACCCTTGTCGGTCACTGCACTGTGCGCACGACTCGAGGAGCCTCTTTGCTTCTACAAACACGTGAGTTATCATAGTTAACTAACACTAAAACCATAAAAAAAAAAAAACATTTTTGTTATTTGAAACAAAACAAGCATTAACTGACATAAAATAATAGTTACATTTATATTAAAATTACATTTATGCATATTATCATTTCTCATACAATATAAATATGTTAAATGTATTATAATACATAAATATACAAAATACACACGTGTGCACACACATGTACAGTAATATTAAAGTAGCACAGCTGTTTTTAACTGATAATATTAAGAAATTTTTCTTGAGCACTAAATCAGCGTATTACGATGATTTCTGAATGATCATGTGACACTTAAGACTAGAGTAAAGCATGCTAAATATGTAGCTTTTGCCACTACAGGAATAAATTACATTTAAAATATATTCAAATATTTATTGATAAGAGACTTCTTTCAAAAACAAAGAAAATCTTACTGACCCCAAACATTTGAACAGAAGTGTATGTACTTCTAAACAAAATAATTTTTTTAGCAGATATACACATTTGCAATTTAAGATTTTACAATTTTTTCCTTCCAGAAACAACTAAAAATATTGATGACCCATCTCATGAAACTACTAAACTTAATAATGTCTGTTTGTGTGTGTTAAAAGCACCTGCATAAGCCGTGAGTGCTGTCCGGAGTATGTGTGGTCTGCGTCTCCTGTGCCAATGGGAGGGAGGAGTGTGTTTCTACTGAGAGGCATTGGAGGTGAGGCCAAACGATCACTGGCGGTCGTCCTAAAACACACACGGACACACGCTATTGCAAGAGAGAATCTCTTTTCAGAAAAAAAAAAGAAGTACAGGAGTTGAAATGAATGGTGCTCTTACAATCTTGTGCCTCTAACCACCTCTTCCATGGAGCCAGTTGTGATGGGCTGTGTTACAGTGGACGTCAATGGCATTAGAGTGCGAGGGGGCGGGTTCCGTCGCCGTGCCGACTGAGGGGGGCGGGTCAAAGAGGATGTGCTTTGTTCCAGTGCACGACGGGGCCGAGGTTTACTGGTAGGAATGACACTAGAGCCGGGACGATGAGACACTTTCTCCTCAGAGTCCCTATGGTCAGAAAAATAAAGATAGGATTATTGAAAGATAAAGGAGAAATAAAAAAGCCATAGAGATACAAAGCTTTCTTGCACCGCTAAACTATGGCAGCATGTAAAAAGAATTGATGTTCTGCCAGAGTCTGTGGTCTGAATAAAGTACTGCAAAACAACACAAAGACAATAAATAGACAACAAGTTTTTTAACCGTGTTGTCTTTGCTGGTTGCATGCAAAAACAAATGATACAACCACTGTAGTCTGATACACAAGCAAATATAAGCTGGTTCTTGTTATGAATTGGTTTTAAAAAAAAAAAGAATTTTCTATTTTTTTTTTACTTTCTATAAAATATATTAAAATAGGAAATAATATTATTTAGATAGAGGTCGACCGATGTATCGGTTTTGTCGAATAATCGGTACCGATAGATAGCTGATTGCTGGAACTATCGGCTATCTGTAAAAATCCATGCCGATATTTTTCCGGGTTACGTCCGTTGCTGGAACGGATGAAAAGGTTCACTGTCATTATATAGTGCGAGAGCGGCCTCTAGAGGCGGAAATCACTGACACCTCATGTTGTTTGTTTTGACACGTGAGGCTGAGCGCTGCACAGAGCAGGAAACTTCAGACGAGTATTTGAATGCAGCCAACAGAAAATCCTGCCGCGCAAAAGAGGGCCATTCACATAGTTTTACATTAAATTACATTTTATTTGTCCCAAATAATTATTAATGTACATAATGACTTCACCCTAGGCTGTAAAATTGTGTATTGTGCATTTTTCAGCAAAACATTTGTCTTTCTGTGGCTCTAATAAAGTATGCTTCATTTATTGAGCTATAATATAGATCGCGATTTCTCTTTCCGTTTGCTCTGTTTTTTTAAACACCGAACTGCAAACTCATCTATGTCACATGGTTAATTCTTGAAGTAAACTTTTACCCTTTTGGTGATTAAATAAACTGTTTTAGACTGCGGCTTGAAGTGAACGTGACACGTCAGGTATGTGTAATACCTGTTGTCCTAAACGCGACGCTGCGCTTTTCCCTGGTGTGTGACTAACATATTTTGTTATTTTGATTAGATAACCAAGTGTTCTAAAACAGAAGCAAACAAACAAAATGTGAGAGTATACATACAATATCCATATGTATGTAATTTCAATGCTATGGCCTTTGTGTAGATATTTAAAGATGGCCATCTTTAAGCATGACTGTTGATATGAAATGGTAATACTTTACAATAAGAGTCTATTTGTAACATTTAAGTTTAATAAAAGCTGTATAACTATTGTTCCTTGTTAGCTGAACTAAGTTTACCTTGTAAGCTATGAACTAACATAAATGATTAATTTAATAATTAATATTAATATTTTTATTCATTTACAAATTATGGTTCAATAGTGTGTTTTATAGTATAGCACTATATAGTAAAGCACTATTTTAGTTTTCGTTCAGTATCCATTTGAAAAACTATCGGTTGATTAATCGTATCGGCCAGTGTGGTCCAACCTAGCTATTGGTATCAGTAAAATCCACTATCGGTCAACCTCTAATATTATTGCATTCCTGTTTTTAATTTAAATAAATTAAAAATTTTATTTTGTTCAAATAAATGCAGCTTTGGTAAGTATAAGAGATTTTCAAAAATCTTTAAAAAAAAAAATTTAACAATAGTGTATTTATTTAAAACAAAAAAACAGACAAAATTTGTTTTTTAAATTGTTAGAATTTTTATAATTTTTTAGTGGTCAATCAATTTATTTTTAAAAAGGTTTCATTTATTGTGTTTGTGTTATTAAGAAACATAAAACAACTTTTGGAATATCCAGCTTTTGGAATATATCCTGGATATTGTATGTTTGCTTGTTTTTTTCCTATGGGCGGCACTAGTGGGTTTTCTCCGATACCTTGTTGACTGTACTGGGAAAATACTACATCAGCTGACCTCTAGTTTAGACCAATTTCTGCAACATCAGAACACTAAACTACAGTGCTAAATATACACAGTAAAATTTGTAAAGGTTGTGTTCATTTCTTCTGCAGTGTTCATACTGAGCTATTCGGTCCAGTGTTCCCAGGTTCCTTTGCTGCAGTGGAATGCCATGTATCATGATGAGGTCATTGAGATTGTGATGGGCAACCGTTGAGCCTACAGGTACTCGACTGGTCTGTGTGAACAGAGACAGAGAGAAGCAGAAAAGAGAAAAAGTTCATGTTTTCATTTTATTGTCATATAATGCACAAGTCTGTATATCTCAGTGATTTAAAGGCGTCATATGATGCGATTTCAATTTTTCCTTTCTCTTTGAAGTGTTACAAGCTCTTGGTGCATAAAGAAGATCTGTAAAGTTGCAAAGACTAAAGTCTAAAATCCAAAGAGATATTCTTCATGAAAGTTAAGAATCAACCACGCCTACCTAAAATGGCTCGTTCTAACACGTCCCCACATGTCTACGTCACAATGTGGGAAGATTTGCATAATGCCGCCCAAATATTCACGCAAAGAAAGGTGGCGTAACTTTTATTCTCGCTGTAGTATTGTTGCTGCCGCCATGTCGTGAAGGCGCTGTGTGTTTCGTTGTGAAAGCGAAACTACTTTGTTTGGCCTTCCAAAAGAGGA